AATTATAAACTAGGAATGAGTAAAGAAAAGTAAATGAAATGAAACAAATTATATATGTGATTTAAGTGATATAATCCTAATCCTAAACTCTTATTTATACATAATTATATATGTATGCGGGCCTAACGGGTCGGGCTTTTGTGGGTGGGCCGGACTGGGCTTTCTTGGGCTTAATCGGGCCGGGTCGGGCTTCAGACACTCAAGCCCAAGCCTAGCCCGGCTCAAGGGGGGCCGGGCCATCTTAAAGCCCATAACAGGCCGGGCCGGGCTTTTTTCCAATGGGCCGGGCGGGCCCCCATCGGCCCATAACCCCTCGGGCCAAATGATGAGGCCTACCGTAAGGGGCTACCTCCCAAACCCGCTGCCAGGTTTTTCATTCAAAAAATATTTATCCTATATTATAACACTTAAATTTCATCTTAAATTATCATTCAATTAAATTATAAATTTCAATTCAACAACTCAAAATAATCTCAATTCATATAACAAAATGCAAGAAATATTAGATTATATCATAACCATACATGACTATTTTATATATAAATAAAAAATAAATGTTACTTATCGTGCCGGATATGGAGATGGGGATAACAATACCATCCCCATCTCATCCCCTACCAAGGATTTTTTAAATTTGAGGATCCTCGTACTTACCCCTGATTTTCCCCTTTAATTTCTCCCCTTAGGGTTGGGGACCCGACATGACAGGGATTTACGTCATCCATATTAGGACCACTTGGGAGCATATTAAGGGTCTTGACCAATCCTACTTACACCTCATTGGTGAAGTGTTTTTATTTGTTTATTATCATTAAATTACTCGAACACCACTGTATTGTTTAATTTTTGCTTTGTTGTTTTGAAGTTTATCGAATTTTAATATTGATGACATATTTATTAATTCATAGTGGTCATGTATTTAGTTCTCATGGAGAAAGACTTCTATGTAATGAGGATATCACTATTTTATTTTGCTATACTGACCAATAGCGCGACACACTCATGATAACACTTCTACGTAGCATAACATTATTGATTGGTGATAACATAATAGGGGACCTCGTTGCAACTATGTTTTTCTCCACATGAAGGAATGAAAACACAAGCTTGCTCACACATGATTTTGAAGGAATGAGACTCTTGATGGGAGGTGGTATTATGATTTTGGAGAACGAACCCATTAGGAATTCATCTTTTTTACCTAGTATATCCCACACAATTTTTAAAATTTCAAGTTTTCCATTCGATAAAACCCAACAAAAATTTGCTATAAAATAATTTATCTAGAACAAGGGAATTTTAATAATAAAATTGGTTTCAATTCCAATTCAGGGAATTTAATAAACAACTTATAGTAAACAACTTCAATAGGAATCTAAATTTTGACTCCTCAATCCATAATAGCCTTGTTGCTAATTCTGTCGGTGGCGTCGCGGTTGTCTTGGTCGTCGGTGATAATCAACATATATAGGAAGCTGTTTGTGACATGATTTGAGGGGCCGCGGCTTCTCATCCAAAGCTACAGATCGCCAATGCTTGCAAACTGTGCCAAACCGGATATTGTCGGAGGTTGATGTCAACTTTTCTAGTATCAATTGTAGAACGTGGCTTGGGGGCCATTCTGAATCTAAGGTTGGTGATATTGCCTCCGCCATATGTAGTGCTCGTTAATTTTCTCACACTCAAAAACTCAATCTTCTCCCTTCTCTGTTCAAAACACACCAACAATTAGTACTGGTACGTATTTGCAGGCTTTGACACTTTATTTATATACAATCCCCCAACAATCCTAAACAGCGTAGGAAACTATCAAATAAAGCATCTCAACCCTAGTTTCCCTAGAAATAACCCTAATCCTAAACCTTGTAGGAAAAGGAAACTAGCATGTCACGTGTTACAGATTTAATTTGTATATTATTTGCTGCCAATTATAAGTTAAGCCCATCTGTGATATTTAATAAATGTTAATTTTATTTAAATTGTACGTACAAAACTGATCATGTGATGTGACAGTTGATGTGATCATGTCATATCAATAATTGACGCACACAAAACAAAAAGGCGTATATGTGAAGACATGACTTGATCACCAAGCAATTTGACCCTAGAGAGAGAAGGGGAACAACAACAACATCTCTTAGAAAGAAATATTTAGACACAACGTCTCTCAGTCAACTTCGATCTCACAGGGCTAATTGCTTTAATTTGTGGCTAGAAAAGAAGAAAAAATTTGCTTTAGTCATGCAATTGCCTTTTCAAATCCATTAGACCTTTTTTTTTCTTCAATTTTTTAGAACATTTCCTATGGAGAGGGGCGATAATACACTAAACTCATATACACAACACGGATGCTAGAACTTGAACCCAGGACCTTACTTGGAGGAGTAATTATTTCAAACCACTACACTAGCAGGTTCTTTGCCAAATCCATTCGTCTTAAAAGTGTTCTTTTAAAAGCTATTTTTCTTGGCGTTAAACTTGACATTTCAGGTGGGAAATATTTTAAAATGGAACCAAGGTGCATAATTTTATCCAGTGTGTTTTCAGTGTTTGCTGCTGCCAGTGCCACAGTTTCTTCTATAGCATTGGAAACTTGAAAATAAAAAAAGTGCACACAGCCATGTTGCCAAGAGCCATAACTCTGCCTCTGAAGCTAAAAAAACTAGGCATATCGTCCCTACGTCTACTACAGATTCTGAGAAATTGAAAAACTCTCTATGAGAATCCCAACCTAGCGATGTTTATTTTAGGGACCATTCTCGGTAACACGAGTCCAGCAGCCAATGCAGCTCCAAATAAAGAATGCAACCTCACACAGTAATACTTTGCCATGAATATTTTATGTTTGTCCTGCAAGAAAAAGGAAATTCATGTAAGCAAATCTGAAATCAGTTTAAGGGGCAGTTGTAAGATGTATGTATTCCTTTAATTTCAGATTTAAGGTCATATTTTCGCCAGCCCCAAGCTCGTTGGTGCACTGTTCAAACAGGTCCAGTTTCCAACTAATCATGGTGCAAAACAAACATATTGTCATTCCTGTCGCTTCAGAGACAAGAGAGTGAAGTGACACGAATGACACTGTTCCCTATTTTTCAGTAACTGCATCTTCATGCACCTTTGTATGCAGTAGGAAGCATATACGAGTGAGAACAGAATGAAGAGCAATTTAAATTCTATGCATATGTCGGACAAATTTTCTTTTTGCCATTGTTCTACACAAGTTTAGTACTTACATTGTGGTTTTCTTCAACATAGCCAACCACCAGTCTTGCAATTGGCAAGGTCAGGGCACATAGAAACTGAAAGAAGCCATCCTCAAAATCAGACGGAAATATAGAATAGAAACAGGCAGAAATGATAGTAAGAAACCTCAATTTCAGTCCCCACCAATAAGCATATAATTTAGTAGTTACATATAACTTACAACACAAGTAAAAGGGAGAGCGCTGCTTAGACCAAAGGTGAAAGTGAGAACATAGAGTCCTATAACTGCCAACTTCACTACCACTAATCCTCTTTTCGTGCCAAGCCTAACCTGTATACCAATGCAAATACAAATAAAACAATCAGACCGACGGAACATGATCTCATTAAGGTTTAAACATATCAGCGCTCAGTTAAGTGTATGTACCAGAGGGGACATTTTTCCTACAGCCCTGTCTCCTTCAATCTGAGTGGTATGACATTCATGTCAGCTATGTATCTGAAATACAATAAGCCAAGATTTCTCGAAATAGAGAAATGAAAACTACCTGATGAAAGTGACTACAGAACAGGATTAAGGCTGTTGTTATGCCAATAAGGAGTGAAGCAGAAAGAATTGAACCAGTAAAGGGAAGATGGATCATTTCCCTGCCAAGACAACCAATGTTAATTATCTAAGACTCGCAAAACTTAAATTCAAAACCGCGGCAATTTGGTCAAGTTTTTTAACCTTGTGCTTCCCTGCAATAAATAAAAAGCCGTAGTAGCGAATGGACCAAATGCAGCAAAGCACAACGGCTCTCCTAATCCTTGGTAACTTAACCGAAATGGTGGACACTGCAACTCAGCATTAGAACAGGTGTAAAAAGATGTTTCCGATGCATAGTTGGGAGAAGTTACGACTGGCCACGAAGCAAGCCATTATGAACAATCAAATTCATTTTGCATTGAATGATTGAAAAGAAAAATATAGACAACAAAAAAAGAGAAAACATTCGACATCAATAAGATAATAACTTGGAAGTGGTACTGGTACCAATGTTGAAATTGGTCACATTGCCAACATTTGGTTGCATAAACATTCAACAAGCATTCAGCACGAGAAAAAAATGTAGATCACTTTATATTTTGACTACATTTTTTGTGTTTAATCACACAAAGATAACATGCATTTCTTTAACATTACCAAACATGCTCAGAAAATTCAGCCTGCTATCAATAATGCACTAAATAAATTAGCTTCTACAGTTAAGTTGCTATTAATCACAGAGCTTAATTCGACACAGAAACAATGCATAGCCTCATCAACACAGCAATTAATTCAACTCTGACTTGAGGGGACGAGCTTTTTCCTTTCCTTCTTCTTTTTCTTATGTGCGTGCGCGAGTGCATGCTCGCATGATCCCCCAATGAGTTTTATAAGGAGAGTGCTTTTCTAGCCACATTCTCAAGCGTTGCAGCTCCCCGATCGGTTAAGGTAAAAAGTGTTCAGTCCTTAATCAGATCCTTTTGTTATCATCTAAGGTTTTGTTATTTCCATAGCTACCAAAATAAGGATCTCAAATTACAGGAGCAATATAAGAGAACTCTCTCTGCCATATTTTGGCCTGAAGAGAACTCTCTCTTTTAAAATTGTCAATTTCCAAAAGATTGCCTCCAAACCCTAACAACTCCAGATCTTAAATAACTACAAAGCAACAGAAAATAGGGGAAATACCAAGAATAGTAAGACTCCAAATACAGCCAGCGATTAATCCTATGTATTATGCTGCTGTGAGTGTTGCATCACTATCCAAGATTGACTTGAATATTTTGTCTGCTAAAGAAGATCATCAAAGATACAGATTTTTTTTCTTTTTCAGATTAATTTAATTCATCTCATAGGCATCATTCTACATACCTGATATATATAACCACACATGATTGCACAAGCGAGTAATAATATTGCACGCATATTTCCTGCCTCAAAAGATACCCAAGCAAGCCCCAAAAAGCCAAGAGCAAGTAACAAGTAGGCAGCAACAAGAGTGCCTGTACGGCTTACGGAACACATTACCAAACAAAATAGGCAATTAATATTGGACATGACAACACAAGATTGGGGGGAAAAACAGACAAACTAAATTCACTAATATAGAAGGAAGAAAAATAAAATTTACCTGCCCACTAGATTTACAACTGATTCTTTCTTATCTTTATCAGCTCCTGTATCGAAATCGTAAACATCATTGCTGCAAGTTGACAAATACGAGAATTAAGTCCAGAAGAAAGGAGTAAAGACATTTATGATATCAAGATAATGAGCAGTCTGCCAATGGTGGACATCTTAGAGTGCAACAAAATCATATGGAGAAACTCATAACCTGAGCGTCTAGTTAGTGATCTTCATGTTTTAGGCCAACACACTTTTCATGCTAAGGATATGATATCTACCCATCTAGGCCGTAGGGAGGAAAGTTATCATGCTAAGGATATGATATCTACAATGTCTCAAGAAAGCTTATATGAACATATGCGTTTTGTGAAATGGACTCTGTATGGCCTTTCCACTACATCAACCTGCCATGTAAGTATGCATTCCCAAAACATAGTATGCTTGTGTGGTTGATGTAGGAAAATTTGGTCCATCACAAAAGAACTAACTCATGAAATATAATTTGTCAATTTCAGATCTATGGTCAAGCTTGCTTAGATTCAAGTTATACTCAAACTTCTCTGGGAAATATTTACTAATGTATACCTTAGGTTGAGCCATGTGATGATAAGAACCGAGGAAACCAAAAGAACAGAATAATGCCAAGCTGAAAACATGCCTGTCTGTAAATAAGCAGCTGCACTACCTACCTATTTAAGAAAGCAGTCAGTGAAGATAGTCAGCATGAGGCAAGGAAGTGTATATCATTCAGAGCATATTGAAGAAAGCGAAAAGTGTAAAAGAAATGACTGCATTACATTAAAAGCAACAGAAACAAAATTGTAAGTCAAAGGTTATATGTGACTGTAAGAGACTCAAGAGAGGAGCTATGCCACTAAGCATGAGTTAAACCTGAAAAATTGTAATTTATGCCCATAGAATGAAACATTCTATTGGAACTTAGTCCCTTATGTGCTGTTATCATACATGTACATGCTCATTCGATGTCTCAGCCACAGTAAAAAAGAAGAAGAAGAAGTTATGATATAAGAAGTTATGATATATACATCCGTTCCAGATAATTCTTAAATGATCTGTTTTCCTTTTTTGCTAGTTCTACGGCTGACAACTGAAAATTTGGATTCACTCCCAAACCAATCTTCTTTGAATAGGATTTCTTAAGTCACAATATTTTCCCTATATTGATAGGCTTTCTAAATTTTCATGTAGTGTTTCTCAACATCTGCAAGAAGTATTAGACTGGCCTTCTATTTGGCAAACACAGTATGACCATATCGATGAATACTATATAAAACAAGAGAAAAAAGTCAGTATTTATTTACCCTTTTTTCTTTCATATGCATAGAAATCCTTCACAAAGAGCACTGGCTATCTTATCAGAATTTGGACTACCAAACAATGAAAGAGTTCCGTTTTCCAGTTACGAAAACTATTCACTTTAACTTTATACTGTCCCTTTAGCAGCCAGAATCTCAATGTAGTGCCCTTAGTTGAAATGATAGCCAATGTATCCTAAAACACATATTTTGAGGCACATTATTGGAATATTGCACTATCAAACATGGCACGTGCATATAGAGAAGAACGATGGATATTCAACTGTTGTGGTTCTACGAACACACACACATATATATTTATATATACAGAACAAAGGGTTCACTTGATCAAGAATGCATCATATGAACCTGACAATCGTGCTCTTTATGAATCTTAGTAGAAACAGAGCTTTATGCATTAAAAGGACTCACAGTGAGAGGAACCAATGCAACGGAGTATATTGGTAACTTTACTGCCCTCCATATCAAGGTTGCTTTAGAAATAGGCTCTTCTTTATTCTCTTCATGGATAGTGTTAGAATAGCCCGCCTTATTGTTGACAAAAGCCTGTCCACAATATTGCCACTGTCTGGCCTCTAATTTTTTTCTACAAACCCTATGGAAAACTCTTTGAGCATTACAGGAGAAACAGGACAATCTTCCATAGCCTCCATAAGACCTGAGATATGAGAAATGTCAGTAATTGGATAACGAGATAACATCAGACACGTCAGTGATTCGTATTACATTACATCCAAATTAAGCTGAATTGCTATTTTCAGTTAGGTTCAAAAGAAACTAATAAGCAAATTCTAATATCAACTTCTTAAAGACAAAAATCTTAACTATCATAGCAAGAAAAAGGGAAAAACAGATTCACAAAAAGCTCATTATCTTTTCATCCAGACTCAGAAATCACAAAAACCAAGCACCCAAATTTCAGAAAAGTAATTGTATTGGAACTTGCCTTTTGGAGACTATCTGCTTCAGGTGGTACTCATTTAGTTTTGTCAGACCAGACCCAGTGTTAAGATTGCAGAATGTGGTTGCCATCTGTTATCTACAATCAAGGGAAAGATAATTGTAATTCTTATACAAACATATGTATATGACTAAATCACCAAAACAACCCAAAGCAGCCTACAAATACAACAAACTGACTAGTGCAAGCTCAGACTTTGGTGTTCTGTATTCCAAGAAGAGAATTTGAAGCCAACCCACAACCCCAATCAAGCCTTTTCACTTAAAACTAGTTAAAAAAGCATAGATTAGAGCTGGAACACTAAAAAATGTAGGCAAATGTTCTCCTAAAAAATAGTTTAAAACATAGAAAAATCTCAACAGAAAGAAAAAAGATCAAATACAAAGGAAGACAGCTCTTCTGCTAGAACAAGGAAAAAGTAGGAGCGAAGACCTTGGTTGTAGCTGGGAGGTCAAGGCTGTAGAAGCAGCAACTGCAGCATCATATTTGGGTTCTTATTTATGATTCAGTAGCTTCCTTCATTTACCTGAGAGTTCACTTCAGAGTCTCTTAGACTCACCATCGCTGAGTCACCAACAAAATCTTAGCATGGATAAGATAACTGTAGTCTCTGTCTGTCTGGTTTGTCCAAATGCCACATCAGATAATACGCTTCTTTTAAAGGGAAAATCTTTATTGAAAAAGAAAAAACCAATTTTTCCTTAAAAACAAACTTAAGAAAAAAAATCTAAAATTGATATATTGGCAGGCATGGGTTGAGCCAATTGTCTATGGTAGTGAGTTGCTCCCTTTCACTCGAGTTTGAGTCTCCTAAATAATTTAAATTAAAAATCATTTGAGCTATCACTTATATACATATTATTAAAAAAAAAAGGATAAAATTGAAACACCCTTATATGCTGGGCGCCAACACCGCTTCGTCCTCTTTGTGAGTGATGCAATCCTCTCGTTATGATGAAGGACAAGATATTTGTCAATTTAAGTCACAAAATGAAAGAAAAAAAGGGGATCAAAGTTAGCAAGTAATCACAAAAGAATAAAATATTAGAAGTGGGCATCGAAACTACAAAATCAAATTAAATCGAGCCGGAAAAAATCATGTTGATTAAAAAAATCAAAACTGACACAAAAATGGGTCCAATTTCGATTTTTCCACCTCCACAAACTAGACCGATATTTTTATATTTAATACATGTTGTAGGATTGTAATTTGTTATGATGGAGGATTGTAATTTTGAATGAATTTGGTTTGGTTGTAATTTGTTATGCATGAGGATTGTAATTTGTTATGATGGAGGATTGTAGTTCTGAAGATGGATTGTAATTTGTTACGTTATGCTGTGTTGGATTGTAATTTGGTTGCATTTTTTTTTTTTGGGCTTTTTGTGGTGTTAAAAGTTTGCTGCATGATGAATTTGGGCTTGGGCCTATTAGAGAATGAATGTTGAAAATTTGTGTTAGAAAAAATTAATTTTAATGGGCTTCAGATAAGGCTGAAAAACAGGAGAAAGTGAAATGAAATGGGCTCCAGCATGTTTTACTGAATACAATTTTGGGCTAAGGCCCAAACTAGAAAACCGCAAGAATCAAATCAGAATCGGACAGGTCCGGATTGGTTCGATTCTCCCAATGATTTTTTGCCTAAATTGGATTGATGCTCTCTTTTTATTCGGGTTTTGGTTCTAATGAAGAACTAGACCGTGTCGAGTCTTTTAGAAATAGTATGCTTTTTTTTTTTTTGGTCAAATGAAAATATTATGTTTAAGCACCAAGTCTTGTGCTAGAAAAAAAGAAAAGAAAAAGCTTATCATTGGGATTTTCATGGTATCTCAGCAGCTTTCAAGTAAAATGATTTTTGGTCTTATAAAATAGACAGAGTATGAAAGTACCACTGAATATCGGGGTGGGATTGTACTCTTGTGGTATTACACAGATAAAACTTTCTCACTTGAATAAAACTTTCTAACTCTCAAATTTCTCCCACTTTTCTCTTCGGATTGGTGTATCTTCTTCTTCAACTAAGGATCCCTTTTATAGGGAAAGTAACCAGAGCAAATGCTTTGCTGAAGAATTGGAGGTGAAAACATTTTACCCACCAAAAACACTATTTCACTCACATCAATCTACTATTGCATGCACGAAAAGTCTTCCTTGGTACATCCACACACAAGTTTCACAATAGTTGGCAATATTTATATTTATTTTATTTTATAATGAAACAAATAGGCTTGTAAGATATTATTTTTCTGATAAAATATAGGGAAATAAGCTGGTGTAATCACAATTCAGAAATAGTGTGCTGAAATAATCAGGCTACAAATTGTATTCTAATATAATCACTTGGAGACGTGAAATGACCACAGTGCCCTCCATATAAAAGCAGATGTATCAACCCTTTAGCGCCTCTTTCTTCTCTGTTTTCGCAGTTTGCCAAAAATAGGGGAACTCTAGGTTGCGAGACATTTTGGCACTGAGCAATCCAGTTCGCAAGCCATCCATAGTCACAACCCAGATGTCCTAAACTTTTGAACCCTAGTTTGACCGTAGCGAAGCCGGCGGAACGCACCGCCTCCATTGTTGACCTCCAGATCGAAGTGACTGTTGCGACTCCACGGAGAAGCGAAAGTGGCGACTTCCGGCGTCGTTGTGAACGGAGGTGAGTTCAGATATTGGTTTGGTAGTGTATGTGTATTATAAAATCGTGCATCCCCTTTTCACCACAGAAGGGCAGAAGAGCTTAAATTTTCAGTTTCAAGGCGTTATGATATGTTGAAATTCATAGTTTGTGTTATTATCTGCAGTGGGATGTATGTGGTAAACTTGAATTTTGGTTAAAATTGACGGAATGCTTGTATAATGTAGTGCAATGTGTTTGATAATGGGCAAAATAACAGCACACAGAAAAATCATATGTTAACTTTGTCTGGCCTAAAAGTAGGTTTGTTAGGGTAGTTTTAGGCTGAATGTAGATGCTAATGTGGGGAATTTATTGGCATTCTGGGTTTGTTTAGGGTTTAGGTGTAAAGTTTGTGTGTTTTGGTATCCAATTTGGTAATTGAGCTTATACCACATAATATGTTCTGTATCACAACCTGAGCCTTTTGTTGAAGTTGTTTACATTTGTTAGAGGTTAGAGGGTTCATATTGCTGCCATGGTATGTTTATGTGAGTTTGTGAATAACTTGGAACCCACAGCTATGTACAAAATCAGAGAAAAGACAGAAATGAATAAAAGTTCCTTGTTGAAGCAGCTACAATTTGAGTTTTGAAGATTTGAGGATTTATAAAATGATACGTGTAGTGGAATGATTGTTGTGTATGTTTTTATTTGATGGAATTTATCTTTTTTAGTTTTATTCATTGCTGTAGTAATTATCTATGTTATTTGCAGAAATGGATACTGTTGGAATATTGGTATGCTACAATGGAAGTTGGGTTAAGAAGGATAACATTGAGAGTTACGAAGATGGGGAGGCTAAAGGCATAATAGTGTCACGGAACGTAACGTTTTCCGACCTTGTTCAGCGCATTTATAAGATCGTGGATGCAGATCCCACGAAATATATTGTCACACTGAAGTATTCAGTTCCTGTATCCTCATCTGTCTGTAAGCACATAAGGGTTGAAGACAATGATGATGTTAAATATTTTGTAAAGTACAACACAGATGTTATGGCCTCTAAAGTAACCCCTTTAGTAGCAAGCTTGAAAAATATTGAAGGTCATGGTATTGAAGGGTGCAATGGCATTGTAAGCGTTGAGAGTAGCAATGCTCCTGCTGACTTTGTTGTGGAACAAAGAAATGTGGTAATTCGGGACAATGAAACTGAAAATGGTGGGAATGATTTTAATTGGAGTGATTGGGTTGAAGAAGTGAATTTTGAAAGTGGTGAAAACATAGTTGCTGATTTCAATGAACCTAGCAACGAAGAGGAACCGCAATCTGCTCCGATTCTGCATCCTCATGAGGACAGCAATGTCGAACCGTCCACTGTGTAGTGTAGACAGGTGCAATCCGAACCTCTCCGACAATCAAGTTCGACTGAAATGCATACAAGTCGGGGTGATTTGAAGCATGGTCAGAGTTTGGAATATATTCAGTATGGTGGAGGCGTTTCGTGCATAAATTGGGAAGCAAATTTGAAGGTTGGCCGAGTTTATCCAAATAAGATTGCCCTTTTAAAAACCATCAGTTTAGCAACAATTACAGGCCACTTTCGATTGAGAACTGTCCAATCTGGGAAGCATCGGTTGTGTGTTCGCTGTTGGCAGCTTCCTTGCCCTTGGAAAGTTCGGGCATATAAAGTTGGATTACATGAGTTTAAGGTTGTTAAATATGATCCACTTCATGAATGTGATCTAAGGTATGTAAGTAGTCATCATCCTCAAGCTACGACTGAATTGCTGTATGACTGTGTTAAGTGGAGATTTCAGGATTCGCGCAGCATTTATACAGCAGCTGATATCAAGAAAGATGTGAAACAAAATTTCAGTGTGAGCATAAGCTACTCTACAGCGTGGAGAAACCGAGAGTTAGCTTTCAAAAGAATTAGAGGGTCTACAGAAGAGTCGTATTCCCTTCTCCCTTCCTATTGTTATGAATTGGAGCGTACAAATCCGGAAACTTTGACATACATTGAGACTGATGCAGCTGATCACTTCTTATATTTTTTTTATGGCAATTGGTGCATGCATACGAGGATTTAAGTCGTCAATGCGGCCCGTGATTGCTGTTGATGCTACCCATTTGAAGTGCAAGTATAAAGGTGTTTTGTTTGTTGCGACCGCATTTGATGGAAATCGGAACATATATCCTATTGCCTTTGGGATTGGAGATTTGGAGACGGATGCAGCTTGGGAGTGGGTATGTCGGCACTTGAAATTGAACCCCTACTCCTTTGCCTCTTCTTATTATACACGAGCTACATGGGCAGCTGCATATGCTGAATCTATTTATCCTGTACCACCTGAAGGCACATGGGTTATTCCCGAAAATTTGAAGAAGGTCAAAATCCTCCCTCCTCTTTGTAAGGTTATGCCTGGCCGTTGCAAAACGCAAAGAATAGCTTCTAAAGGAGAGGAGTCCCGTCAAAAAAAAATGCTCAAGGTGTGGTGTGAAGGGCCACTACCGAAGTACATGCAAACAATCTGTCCCTCTCACCAACAAGCAGCACGTTGCGTAGATGTTACACTTGTTTAGTTTCTACCTCTGTTTTGGTCAACTGCGAAGTTGATGAATAGCTTCGGTGATGCTGCAGGGATGGAAGTCGGTCCACTCAACGGTCATGTGAAGCATATGGAACAAGGTAACAAGTCCTTTGCAATGAGAGCCTATTATTAGTAGAAATTGGTGAACATACAGTGCCATCACCACAGTGAAACCAGCTGTAAATTAACAATGTTCCACTGGCCCATGTGTGTTTCAAATTAGCATTTCTGTTCGTTTGTTATGTACCTTTGATTTGAAAATTGAATTGAATTTTATTTGGTGTTCTCTATTGTGATTGTAGTGAAATTCGCATAAATTGCTTTCCTTTCCTAGACAACGTCATG